AGGTTCTGGTTCTGATTCTTCTCTGCATCCCCAGAACCAAACATGGAGAAGCAGCATCCAGCTTCTATGCACCACAGATCTGGAACAAATTTCCAAAAAACCTGGTTAGAGCTGCTTTTGAAATGAAATCAATTAAACATTAATAAACATTTAACAATGCCACTTGACAAAACTGAAAGCTTCAGCTGCTGTGACTGCTTTCTATGACTTTGTAGTTTTGATACGATCTGTTAAACCGGTTGGTTTCCAGAGAAACGAAGTGGATGGTGGTTTCACAGAATTTTTCTGCAGCTGAAGGAGCAGAAAAATGCTTCATGTTCCAGTTTGACAAGTAGTTCTGACCCAACAGGAAGTAGATGTTTTTATTGCTGCGAAGTCGTGTTTCTTTGTGTAGCTCCTCGGAGGTTTTCCCACCGTCTCTCGGCTCCCAGCAGGTTTATAAAGACCAGGTCAGCAGCTCAGGTACAGCAGCCTTCAGCCAGAAGATCCAACCAGCCAATCACCTGCAGACAGGTGAGTGTTCAGCTTCATCCATTCATCTCTCTTTAACTGTTTAACAGTGAAACTGTCACTGAGAAGTTTGACATGGAAACCATCATTTTGACAAACTGGACAGAACCAGCTGGGTTCATATTTGACCCGTTTTTCTATCAAATCCTTTTAAAATCTCAAAATATTTCTGTTTTGTCTGAATTTCAAGCTTGATTCAAACCAACTTTAGAACCACTAGTTCTGCTTTTACAGTTTTATCAATGCATATAAATTATATTTTATTTTTGTTTGTTGCAGCTGAATCTCTGTGAGAAAGAGATGTTTCATATTTATCAGATATAAAAACTCCAGTTTGTTTCCTTTATTGACTTTTGTAAATAAAATAATTTCTTTCTGTAAATTCTCGTCTGTAGCCAGATGTATGTCGTATCGGGTGTAGTCTCCGTCTCATGTTGGGTTTAACTTTGATGCAGGAGCCAAAGATGCAGAAGTACATCAATGATATCGGTATCTCTCTGGACAGTGACGAGGAACTTTGGTTTAGTAATAATGGTTACACCAAACTTCCTCTTGATCTGAACAAAGGAGCACGGGGAAACAAAATCTTTCTCTGGTACAAAACAGCTGACTACAGAGCGATCACCAGGATCCAGTTTTCCTTCAATGACTGGATGAAACAAGGTCTGAAGGATGCAGGGTACCGCCTGGTCGATAAAGATCTCAACAAAGGAGCCGGGGGCAGCGACGTCTTCCTGTGGTTCTTCAAAGGTTATACTGAGTACGACGTCCCAATCGTGGAGCTGGACCTGTCCACTGATGCAGAAGATAATACCAAGAAGGGCCAGCCTCAGTGGGAGAGGTCAGCCTGCGATCTGAACCGGAAAGCTGGAGGAGATTTGATCTACCTGTGGATGAAGAGACAGCATCAGACCTACATCTGTGACATTCAGGTCAATGCTGGTGATATATCAAACTATGAATTATTCCGTGAAGGTTACACCCGAATAGATGAAGACATCAACAGAGATTCAGGTGGATCTGACATCCTCATCTTTTACCAACAAACCACTGATGAGAAGAAGGCCATCACAGATCTGAAGATCACAACTGATACGTCGAAGGAGAGTCGTTTGGTGAAAGCAGGCTATCAGAAGGTGAAAACAAACCTGAATGATGGCACCAAAGGAACCCCGTTGTACCTGTGGTACAAAAAACATGAAGTCACCAAATCTCCCATTTCGTTTATCACGGTGATCCTCCACCCAAAAGCAAAGGAAGCGTATAGCAAAGCCGGCGTCAATGTCATCGATACAGATCTCAACCTGAAAAGTTCAGGCCACAAAATGTTTCTGTGTTTTAAGTAAAGATTGATTGTTTCTGAGCATGCTCAGTGAGAGCCAATAAACATCTTCTATCTGTAATCTGAGAAATGATTTCTCTGTCAAACATTTTCTCTGAATCTGATTACTGATGATTAAGGTTTATAAAGTAGACGCCAGAAGAAGCTTTCTGGTATCCAGAAACTTTTCATCTGTTAGAATCAGCTTCCAGTTATTCAGTGGTTCTGATCCAATATCCCGTAATATTCTGTTTTCTTATAAAGTCATAACATTATGACAGTATTATTGTAATTTTATAACTTTATTCAAAAAACAAAAAGTTTTAGTCAGGTTCTGATTCTCTGTTGAAGAGTTGAGATCAGAAAAGTATTTCTGGGTTCTGAACCCGATTCCTGACAGAGAAACGTATCAATCACTCAGTCAAAACATGAATATCACAAATTAATTTGTCATTTTCTTGCAGCAAGTTGTAAGAAAATAAAGAAACAATCACACAAAAAATAAAACATCAGTACAAATAATGTTTGTTTTATAGAAGACTGTGATGTAAGAACAAAGATAAACCGATTGGTTGGAAAAGAGCGTATAATATTGGAATATTTCTATTAAAATTCAGATAGTCAAGTAAGAGTAGAACCACTTCAACATATTTTTACTCAAGTAAAAGAGTATTTACTCAAGAACTGATCAAAACATCATTTAATATTTAAAACTTACATCATCAGATGGACCAAAATATAAAGTTAAGTGGAAATTTGGGGATTTTAAAGACCAAAATGACAATAATTTATAAGTAACAAAAAATAACAAAATTAGGCAAAATAAAAAAAGTTTCCAAATCAGTTTCTTTAATAAATAAAAGTTGATTTTATTTATTTTTATTTATTTTATTAAAAACTGCAGGTGTGTGTCTCTGTTGAATTTTTTGTTTTCATTCAGTGGGTAGAAAATCCAGAAATTTTACTCCAGTTAGAGTAGAAATACTTCATAGAAAACTTACTCAAGTCAAAGTAAAAAGTACAGCATAGTAAAAATACTCCTAAAAGTAATCTATTTTATTTTTTCAAAAAAGTTACTCAAGTAAATGTATCTGAGTAAATATACCAAACTCTTTATGAAACAGCTTTTCCTAGAAATGCAGAGTGAAGTTCTCCTTTAATTTGTGCAGCTTTGGATACATGATGTAGTTTTTCTCATGGATTCCACTCAAAACACCAAGAACTTCTCTTCATAATCTCACATTTATTTATTATTTTATAGTTGGTCTGGAAGTAATTTAACGATTCATAACAGATACTACTAAGGATTTATTGTCATTTTTAACTGAACATTAAAATAATGAATTAAATGCATTAGTGCTGCCTTATCTGCAGCTACAGGGTTTATAAATCTTGAGGCCTGAAACAACGGCGCCCCCATGTGGCGGAACTGAACGTCCAGATCATTTCACAGCTTTATCATGAAGCTACAGCAACATTAGCGTTGTTTGTAATGACGTCACACCAGTGTTGTTATGGCTACTGATTCCCTACAGGTGTCGCAAACCAAAAAATATAAAATCTGTGCTATTAAGTGTACCATATTATTTTAATTATTTGGAAATGTCATCAACTAAAAAAGTTTCTTTTTTTACAATATATTTATTGAGTTTTGCATATATGAAAAAGAACAAACATTCAAGCAAACACAAAAATAAAATTCAGCCAAAAATAAAAACTAAAGTACAAATTATTTGTAAATACACATAAATGACTTTTCAACTGTAGCCTCGGTAAGTATTGCTCTTTAAAAAAATATATATATATATATATATATATATATATATATATATATATATATATATAATTAATTAATACTATATGAATTAGAAAATTCTAAATTCATAATAAGTTAACAAGTTGGATATTTTAAAATTCCCCAAGAGTTACCTATTATTGGTGTAAAAATAATAAATCGTTTTCCACTTAGTATGGAAAACTAAATAACATTTAGTTTGTATTATTTGTAGTTACTTTAAGTATTTATTATCATGCTAGCTTTTGTTCTTGGGCCTCTTGATAGTGCAGCGGCTTAAACCGCTCTGAACAATATTATCGTTTATCACGATAACTTCTGGGAACGTTTATCGTCCAGCAGCATTTGTTATCGTGACAGGCCTGCTGCTGAAGGCGCCCACCGCCTCTGAGCCTCACTGCGGCTGCTGGCGCGCTGACAATGACTTGAATGCTGATGATCGTGGAGATCAACAAAGGAGACAAGGAGAGAGGAGATGAAACGCTTCCTGATCGCTGAGGAGAATGGAGAGCCGCTGACAGACTGCAGGGAGCTGTCACACAACCTCACCGCCTCCTCCTCTTCCTCCTCCTCCTCCTCAGCCCACAGACACGCGGCCCTGTCCTCGCTCCAGACCCGGGGACCAGGCGGCGGGTCGGAGCCGAGGAGATCCGCGCTGAAACGCAGCCGAGGCGGCCAGGAAGGACGAGCGGACCCGGAGGAGGCGGAGGCGGCGGCGGATCATCCGGCGGCTCCGGGGGTCGTCGTTCAGCGGCGGCTGCAGCCTCAAGGACGCGGCGTCGGAGGCGCGGAAGGTGTGGAGATGATTTCAGCGGCCAGAGATGCGGACGGGAACAATAACAGCAGCAGCATCTCTGAGCCTCCTGCGGGCAAAGTCAAGGAGGAGCGGAAGGGGAAGAACCTGATCCGGGGCTGGAAGAGGGACCGGGACGCCGCCGCTCCTCCCGCCCGCATCAGGAAAGAGAAGCCCGGCGACGATGGCGCGTCTCCTCCGCCTTCCGTCTTCCTGCCGGAGCATCACCAGGGACCCGGAACCGACTCCCGGATCCCCGCGGGAGACAGCAGCACCATCACCGGAGGCTCCGGGAAAACAGCGGCGGACTGTGGAGTAAAGAGCGGCGGAGGAGCTATTGTTGTCCGGCGGCTTCACGACGAGCCTCCAGCGGCCAAGAAACACAGAGGAGCCGAGAAGGTAGGAGTTTTATCATCCCCAGGCACACAACAGGATTTATTTTAGCGATAAAATGAATAAATATAGTGAGGGATGCAGGTGTGAAGGCCACAAAGACACAAACGGAGCATCTTGATGTCCTTTTGTTGCTGCCCAGCTGCTGTCATTGTTCCCAGGCTGATCTGCACAGATGTCTGATTTTCTCTTTCTTCTTCTTTTGGGGAGATTTAGAGGAGGTTGGATGCATGTTTTAACAAATCGTTTTCTCTGAATGCTTTGTTTGCTTTTTCCCATGTGGGAAAAGACCTCATGATGTCAAATTTATTCACATTTTATGTCATCAACTCCGTTTCTTTCTTTCTTTTTAATTCTTTTTATAAAAAGGCTGACAGGTTGTGCTTCTGAAATTATTTTTGGGAGCTTTAAATAAGTCATCCAGAGGGAGAAGATGGAGGAAGATGAAGGGAAGGGTGGAGGGGTGAGGTGAGGAAAAGAGAGATGTATGATGGAGAGCGAGGAATTTGATTTGACAGCAGAGGACGCAGGCTGGAAGAGTCTGGCAGACAAAGAGGGAGGATGTCCAGGAGGAGTTTGTGTCTGCAGGAGAGACACTGCTTTGTTTACGTGTTGATCTGAAGGGTTTTCTAAAAATCATTTCCTGTCATCGAGAGTCTGAGCTCCACTCAGCTGTTTGGTGTCGATTCAGTTCATGGCTGGACTGCAGCAGCTTTACGTCATCAAACGCTGAAAACTCTGGATTTAACTGAGCAAACCCGTCCAGGATCCTGTCGGATCATCACTGCTAACGAGTAGCTTCTCATTTCTTATGGCTAAACTCAGATTATAACAAATAAAAAAATTTGCTGCTGTAGCTATGCAGATGATACACTGCTCTACATCGTCACAAATCAATGCCTGGAGGAGCTGAAGTTATTACCTGCTGCTGTTGGATCAGCCTTCCAGACCTCTCAGGGGTTCTGGTTCTGGTCCAAACGTGGAGCAGCAGCATTCAGCTTCTAAGTGCCACCAATCTGGAACAAATGTCTGTAACTAAAACCCACCTGGTTAGAGGTGATTTTGATTAATAATAAATAAAGCATTGATCAATATATTTGATGTGCATTGATGGTTGTAGCGATGGCTCTTGACAAAATTACTGGTTTTCACAATTGTTGACGAACTGATGTTTTTATGACGATTTTATGTTTTCAGCCATGTTGCTGAAATGTGATGTACAGATAAACATGATTGATTGATTGATTGATTGATTGATTGATTGGTATCTTTGGACCAATCTAGAGTCGGCATGTAGCTTCAGTTATTCCAGCTGGAAACTAGAGATCAGGATGAACTTTGACCTGAACCTTCAGAACCACATAAAGACGGTTACAAAGTCAGCCTTCTATCAGCTGAAGAACATTTCCAGGATCAGAGGACTAATGGCTCAGCAGGTTCTAGAGAAACTAATCTGTCTATCTTTATTCGTACTGATTAGTGCATTAGTGTCTTTACTGTCCTCCAACTGCAGCTGGTCCAGAACGCTGCTGCTGGCGTTCTGGACCAGCAACTGCTGTGTTTTACTTGTGTTGGGTTTTTGTACCGCCTTGTTGCTGGAATGTGCTATACTAATAAACTTGATTTGTTTTTGTGGAAAAGATGTTAATCTGTTTAGGAACGGTCATTAAGGACAGGAAACATCTGAGGAAACGACTAAATTAGGTTCAGAAACGGCCAACTTCTTAAAAACTGCATGAAAGTGGAGAACCATCGTCTTCAGGGAAGGAATCTGGTTGAGAAAAATCTGAAATGTTAAATAATTTCCACACAATGTGAAGGAAAGTCAGTGGGTTGGGCTGCATGAGAACCACTGATAAGTGAGGCAAACCAGAGGAAAACACCAGTATTGGTCTCTGCTGCTGTTTGTTTTAATGTATTTCTCTGCTTGTGTGACCCTGAAACAGTTACTGTAAAATAACTGAGCCTCTGCTGGGCAGGAAATTATAAACTTTTGGTATTTTCAGTTCTTGTAAAGGACATTTAAGATGAGATTCTGTAGGGTTTAGAGATATAAAAGATATTTTTTGTCATAAAACATCCAGTAGAACAATCAATCCATCAGGTTTATTTGTGCTTTAAAACAAATAAACTTGAATAAACACGTTGTCATAAAAAGACACCATACAGTCAGTAATTGAGAAAATCATGAACAAACATCACGTTTTGATGAGTATGGCTATCAAAATCACCAATCGACATCAAATATGTTTCATTTATTATGGGTCAAAAAGTCAACAACGTTTAATGAAGTATTTATAATTTTGACACTACATCTAAGGCCTGCTGTAGTTTCTCTGGATAATGAAACATTTCCTCTGGTTAATAAATCGCAGTAGCATCTCCATCTTTGTCACGTTGATGGGGTGGGTTGTTTGGGTCTCCTCCTGTTAGCCACAGCTGATTAAAAACAATAGTAACCGATAGCAACCATGTTAGCATCTGGACTTGCACTGATGGCTGACTGTCCAAACCTCCAGCTCACAGGAGGAACATGCTGGTTAGCAACCTCTACTTCCTGTTTGTTACAGCCATGCGTAGCGTTAGCATCAGATGAAATCACGCTTTGTGTTGCCTGGTGGATTCGCTCCAAACTCGAAGATGGAAACTCGACTACTTTGCTTGTTTTTTTGTTTGTTAAATTAGATCAAAACACACATTTTAGAGTATTGCCTTAGAAACGGTTCTAAATTCAAAGTAACTTCTTCAATTTTACAATTTAAGTCACTCGAGGTTGTTTTCTTGTTTTTTTTAAAAACAATAACAAAACAAAACGATCAAAGCGGTGAAGGAGAGATGAAAATAAATTAAACAAATAATTTCTTCCATAAGGAACGTTCCCATCCACTGGTGGGTCTTTGCCTTACCAGAGGCACGACATGTTTAATGCTGGTTTGCCTTTAGTTCTTTTTTTCCATCTGATGAAATCAAGCTTTGAGTGTTCTGAGTGTTGATTCGCTCCAAACTCTTAGACGGAAACACACATAATTCACTTTTTTTTTTTGTTTTTTTTTTTTTTTAAATTTTAAAAGCTGTCTCAAAATTTGCATGACATTTATATGGAAGCACAGCGGCTGTAACTCCTGGAACGGCGATAGATTTATTCCTTCTGTCTGACAGACGGAGCCGGTGTCGGTTCTAAAGACTCAAACCCTGGAGAAACGACTGAAACGATGAAGAGACGTACCGATCCGCGCTGAGAGGAATAAAATAATCCAGCTGCTGCTCCGGCTTTCATCTGCATGACAACAGGAAGCTGGAGTTAGCCGTGAGCGGCTGCTCTGCCTGGTCCTGCGGGCTGCAGCGGGAAGGAGAGCCGGACGCGCCGGACTTTAATAAAATCTGCTCAGCGGCTCAATGCCCGTTAAAATGATTTGGTTTTTCTTTCTGTGAAACTCAGCTGAGACGATCCGAGGTTGGATCTCTTTGGTGGCGTTGATGCCGTTTGGTGAGATTTAAAAGTGATTTCCAAGCTAATGAGCTGATCAAACATTTGACTGCTGAGTATCGACAAATGTAGGAAACGCGATATAAACAGAACCAGTCACCTGAGTGAGTCCTACATGAATTATTCTTCATTTCCATTCTGAATCACTCGTTTCTCTCCTGCTTTTCTTCTCCTTGTTAGCCTGTTAGCATGTTAGCATCTCGTTGAGATTGAAGATGGAGGATTTCTAAATCCAACAAAGTATTTCTTACCAACTAACCTGCTGAGGAAAAGTGTGAGGAAGCAAAAACCAAAACTTAATTTTATTTAAAGTAAAGACTAAAGAGAATTTAAAATCCAAACATGCTAAACTCAGTACATACAGAAAGTCTAAAAGATTGAAAAGCCATTAAAAATACAAACTTTTTCACATAAATATTTTTTACTTGTAGGCCTTTCACAATAAAGTAAAATGAGCTGAATAATTTCCATTTGGTTTATTTATTGTTTTTCTAATTTTTTCTCTTTCTACCAAAAACTGGTTGATAAAAGTTTTCAGTCTGGTGTTTTGGTCTCAACTCATCATTTTTTTGAAGGATAATTTTGTTTACAGAGAATTCATAATCCATTTTATTTGTCGTTTCTCTTGTTTTATTCATTTTGGATATTTTTCAAATGTTCACTAGAATTTAAAGTTTGTTGATGTTTGAGAATGTGTTCTTGCATTATTGTCCCATTACCATTACACAATATCACCGTGTGTCACACTTGTGGGAGAATTTATCGTCCAGTAAAAATCTTCATCATGCCAGTCAGTCCTTACAGCAGCCCTTGTACTGATCACCTCTTAACAACTCAGCTTTGATTTTATCTAATATTTGACATCATAGATGGATTTTCACTCAAGGAAATGAGTGAAAATCCTTCAAATGAGAGGAACATAAACGTATCTGGGGCTTATTCTGCTTTTGTTCTGATAATATTTACATTTCTCAACAGTAGCTTCGAACCTTCTGAATTGTTTTGTAAATGTTGACAGCTTAAACATTATAAACCATCTAGAAAAACAATAGAAAACTTTTGAATTATGCATTCTGCTTAGTAACACCCTGATTATCATTCATGTTTTAGAAAGCCTGATGATTACATGAAAACAAAAGCATGAGATGGAAGCTGCTCAGGTTCACAGCTAAACACCTTTAGGTGATAATAAACCTAAAACAGGAATAAAATGTGTAAATTCCTCCAGCTTCCAGAGTAAACCCGGCTTTGTTTCGCTTCTTGTTTGCCTGGTTGATGTTTTCATTCATCAGCCGTCGCCTGTGTGTGTCCAGACTTCACCAGAGATATAATTCTTATTGCTTATAATCTGCAACTTTCATTTTCAGCAGAGACCTCCGCCTGTTATCTAACAGGAAGCCAGATGTCTTTTCCAAACGCACGTCTAATTTTCTGCAGCTGCAAAACGTCTCGATGTAGAATCCAGACCGTCGGAGATCTGACTCATCCCTGCGAAGCAGCCGAGAGTTTCGCTCTGAGA